ATTCCACGTGCTTGGCATTCAAGTCCCAGTCTCTTACAAAGCCTGGGCTGGGAAGGTGGGGTGGTGAGGAGACTAGGCACAGGTGGGCCAGGGAAAGAATGGCGATTTCTCATGGGAAAAGAGAATGGATGTGTAAGAAGCAAAAGGGCTGTGTGTGGGTGTGTGACTGTTGTATTTAAATTAGAACAGAGTAGCTACCCAGAGTAGTTTCAGGTGACTAGTCAACTGACACTAGTCAAGTTATAACTGGAATCCCACAGCCTTTGTCGTGGTTAGTCTGTTGCTAGGAGAGTTAGCCCGGAGTGCTCCTGTCTGGGGATAGTAATGAACACGTTGAGTGCTGTCTATACCAAACCCAAAGCAAACCCCCTGCTTTAAATGAAGCAGCTATGTGTAGGTACTTTTCTGCCAAAATTAGTAGGCTTTGACATCAGCTGTGAAGTGATTTGTAACACTGGGAATTACAGTGACTGAGATAAGTTGATGAGTCTACATACTGCACAGGAACTTACCAGTTTAGGTGCTAGTAGTGCCCTGCATAAAGTTCTCATAAGCAATGGTGTGTTGTGAGAAAGAAGATTGGCTTTCTCAGGGCAAATGTAGAATTGCAACCAGCATTTGGTCTCAAACCCCTGAAATTCTAACCCATGGTCTCACATCACAGCTTAGTGAATAGAATTACATGCTTGCATGAAAACGTTTAGCAAGATTCTAGAAAACATATTGAAAAGCATTTGTAGTGTTTTCCTGAAATCACCTGAGTTTATAAGATATCACATTGGCTACTGTTATGGTCCAGCCTTTAAAAAAACAAAATAAGCAAAGAACCAATTGCTTCCAGAGTTTTTCACTGTCTTGAGGCACCAACTCAAAGGTGAAAGGAACCATAAATGGCCACAATAACCAGGGACAGGCCGATTGAAAGCCAGGGGCTGGGAGCCAGGAGCCTCTTCCAGGTTTCCCACCTGTGTGGAAGGCCCTGAGCACTTGGATATTCCTCTGCTGCTTTCCCCGGTCAACGGCAGGAAACTGGACCAGAAGTGGTGCAGCCAGAACTCACGTTACCACCAGTATGGAATCTCGACACCACAGACAGTGGCCCTCTGTTCTGCCTGTCAAATGTGACCACCATCCATTGCCAAATTAACATCTCTGTTTTTTCGCTTGTCAATCCATAGGGTTTCTCTGATCTCTCCCTCATCATCACACCATTCATTCATCACAAGCTTCTAGTTCTGCCTCCTAAATCTGTCTCAAATCTGTTTGCTCTCAGCAAATCTGCTTTCTGGCCACCGTTTATTTATTTATTTATTTATTTATTCATAGATTTTTATTTATTTTTATTGGAAAGGCAGATATACATAGAGGAGGAGAAACAGAGAGGAAGATCTTTCATCCGATGGCCCACTCCCCAAGTGAGCGCAAGAGCCAATCCAAAGCCAGGAGCTCCTCTGGGTCTCCCACATGGGTGCAGGGTCCCAAGGATCTGGGCCACCCTCAGCCGCCATCCCAGGCCACAAGCACGGAGCTGGATGAGAAGCAGAGCTGCCGGGATTAGAACCGGCGACCATATGGGATCCCAGCACGTGCAAGGCAAGGACCTGAACCACTGCTCTGTCATGCGGGGCCCCACCCTCTCCACGCAGCTCCTTTGTCCTGTTTCCTACTTCACTTCTCACCCACCACTGCCCCAGACACCACAGTGGCACAACACCACTTCAGCCTAATTCTTACCAACTCTGTGGGTTCCCTCCGTGTTCCTGGATTTCTGATCTCTCCATTCCCTATGTTCTTTTTCCCACTTGTTAACTCTTGTTCATGCTTCAGGTCTCACCTTAAATATAATTTTCTCCAATTAGGAAACCATCCTTGAACTCCTGAAACTATGAGTAAGGGTGAATAGGCTGAGTTATGTAGCAGTAATAAGCAACCCCCAAATCATAGTGACTTAGTATCATAAAATTTCTCACTCAACACCTCGTGACCATGATAGCTCAGAAAGTGAGCTGTGTCTGCTCTTCGTATCTTTTCAGAGACTCAAGCTAATAGATAACAGAGCTTCCATCACACGTGGGATTCCTTAAGAGTACAAGAAGAGGGTAGGGTTAGCCATGCAAGGACTCCCAAAGCTTCCTTCAGAAAGGAACAAATCTGCATCTGTGTTTTACCCACCAAAGCGAGCGCTCCAGCTCTGCCGTGAACTGGATGTGTATGGGCTTCCCAGACCAACCATATGTACCCCATGTCATCTCATATTTCCTCTAGCATAATGACATAGGGTTTATGGGATTCCATGTGACCTGCTCCCCCACCTCCAGACTTCTGTAAAGGTAGGACTGTAATTGTGTAATTGTCGCCATTGCTTGCATTAATAGGAATTCAGAAATATTTCTCTTTTATTTTGAAGATTTATTTGTTTTTATTGGAAAGTTAGATATACAGAGAAGAGGAGAGACAGAGAGGAAGATCCTGCATCTGATGGTTTACTCCCCAAGCGGCTGCAATGGCCAGAGCTGAGCCAATCTGAAGCTGGGAACCAGGAGCTTCTTCCAGGTCTCCCAAGTGGGTGCAGGATCCCAAGGCTTTGGGCCGTCCTTGACTACTTTCCCAGGCCACAAGCAGGGAGCTGGATGAGAAGCAGACTGCCGGGATTAAAACTGGCATCCACATGGGATCTCAGCATGTTCAAGGCGAGGACCTCAACCATTACACTATTGTGCTGGGCCCCAGAAATATTTCTTAAATGAAAGAGTGAATGAGTGAGGCAGCCCTCCAAGATTCAGTCTGCAGGCCTTTACTTTTTTGCCATCCAGCATGATTCCAGCAGCTCCTACCAGAGGAGTGAGTTCCATAATCTGACTTGAGGCAGATATCTCCAATTACTTACTTAATGTTTCCACTTGAATTTGAATTGAATTTTAATTCATTCTTTCACTAAATATCAGTTGCTTTCTCGTAAGGTATGCTAAGTAAGAAACAGAGAGACTGAGACAATACTTGCCTCCTAAAGGCTCACTGGGAAGAATACTTGCCTTTAATGCAATTAGTCCATAACATATAGGTAGTACACTCCATACTGCACCATGGAACAGAGATTTAGAGCAAGGGGAATGAGAATTTGTCTTGTTTCAACTATCGAATCTATTGAGCACATGTCATTACTAAATATTATTTCTGTGCTGGATACAAGAAGTTTAACATTAGCAGGGTAAAATTTTTATCTACTTCACAGTCCAGTGGGGAAAGTAAGGATGAAACGAAAGGTGGGATTTTGATGGGACGTGGGTGGGTGATTGCATGGTTAAGGAGAAGGAAAGCATTTCCATTAGAAAGATTGACCTGATTAAATGTCTGGAGGTAGAAATTGATGTTAGTATTTTTGCCAAGAAAATAATGGAGAACTGAATTAGAATGGTGACAGACTGTATTGTGGTGACTTTCCTTAATTTGTTACAAATACGTCTAAAAAAGATCAATCATAATCCAGATATACACAGGGGACATGATGGGCAGCTCTTCTAGGCCAGCAGGGGACGTTAATTTACTCATCAGAGGATGGACAGAAGAAAAGGTTGAACAACTCTCCTGGCCAAGCTTTGTAGTATGTTCTGTGGTCTGTGGGTACACTGAGGTGGACTTTGTCAACCAGTAGACCTTGAAAAGTTTTTCTCAACACTTGAGCATCAAAACCATCAATGTATCAGTGCTATCAAACCCACTCCAGTAACACCCTCAAAACACTTCCCCACATTGGGGTCCATAGGGCATTACCAAAGGACTGTCCCCCATTCCCTGGTGCTGATGTAGTTTGACTACAAAGGGCAATTCTCCCCCTCCTCCTTGCCGACACAGGATAAAAAAAAAAATGATTGAAACCTGTGTCCCAATCACATTCTTTCATACCTGACCCTCCCCACCCTGATCAGAGGCCCACATGGGCATGCATTCCTCTCAACTATGCTGACCAAACATACAAACATTGTTTTAAAACAATATGAAAAATTTTAGTATGAATGTGATTTGCTTAGTTTCTGGATCTAATTCTAGATCTTCTAAGGAACATGTGCCACCCCAAGCAAAAAATAGGTGGGGGATAAAGTCCGGTTTTGCCCTTTTGCTGTGTATTATCAACAGAAGAGTTTGGTCTAGGATACAGAGATTATGTCTTTCTCATGACCCCAAGTGGGATACTTTTTAAATTCTGTTTTCTGTTGTGTAATTTTATAGATCTAGGGCTTCCCCCCAACCTTTTCTTATGATCACAGTAGGATGCTCTTAGGGCAGCACTGCCAGTCTCTGGAATAGGAACTCCCGTCATTTGAAGTGCTGATCTCAAGGCCTTAGATTGAGTTTAAGCATAAACTAATTACCAAGTTTGAAATGATTACATGCTTGCCAGGAAGTAACAGCTTCCTTTACTGCTTGTTTTAATTTGCATTTCTATGTCTACCTGATTCTTTATATCTATCTTTAGTTCTTTTGTGATCCCTTTTTACACTGTTGTGATCTGATTTCAGTTGATAGGGTTTTGGTATTTTAGTTATCCCTGCTGAACACAGCCACAGTTCTTATATATCATAAATGGGCATCAAGTTTTAACTGGAACCACCCCCTTGTATCACAACATAAAAGCCACACTCCTAGGGTAGAAATAAGAGGCCAGTGTAATAAACCTGACGGGTATGCTAGTTGAGGAAGGAGCAGCGGTTCCTCAACATGCCCAGAAGTGGCACCTGCCACTCTTAGTGCTTGGAGAGCGGAGCCATAATCCCATTGTGTCCTACTGGCAAGTCATTTAATGATTTATGCCTCAATTTCCTTGCAAGGACTTTTTCAGTGTTGTAGCCGATTGATTTCCAAATAATTTATTGTAGCCTGAAATATTGATGTTTTACTATTCTTTGTTTAGATGTTACTTAAGGACTAGCTAAATATGAGTCTTGACAGCTGTCCTGATTCTGGAAGGTGATGAGGTCATCAGTGGTGTTGCTTTCTTCCAGATCTTTGATGATGCATACAAATCCCAGCTCAGCTGTGTGGTCGTGGATGACATTGAAAGACTACTAGGTGAGCCATGACTTTGCCATTCTACTCTCTGTGCCACATTACAGCTAATGTCTCAAAAATTTTAAGTGAAAATAACAGATATTTATAAACTGTACAGCAATCAAAGCACTCTTCTTTGTCTTTCAAGGGAATGTTATATTTTATATCAGAGATGGTATTCCTGCTAAAAATGTCTAATGGCTGTGACTCTGTTGTAGATAGCTTATTGAAGGATATGTGTCTCTTGTCATTTTTCTGCTTTTCACAGTGTGCCCTGCTTGTAGCAAATGGTTAATAATTTTCATTTGTGCATGTGAATTTTTTTTTAAAAAAAAGATTTATTTATTTTTATTGCAAAGTCAGATATACAGAGAGGAGGAGGAGAGACAGAGAGGAAGATCTTCCATCCGATGGTTCACTCCCCAAGCAACCACAACGGCCAGAGCTGAGCTGATCCAAAGCCCAGAGCCAGGAGCTTCTTCTGGGTCTCCCACATGAGTGCAGGGTTCCAAGGCTTTGGACCATCCTCGACTGATTTCCCAGACCACAAGCAGGGAGCTGGATGGGAAGCGGGGCTGCCGGGATTAGAACTGATGCCCATATGGGATCCCAGCGAGTTCAAGGCGAGGACTTTAACCACTATGCTATGGCTTGGGCCCAGTGCATATGAATTTTGACAAAACTAATCAAAGAAGAGTTTAGGATCAGAATGAAATCCACACATTTTCTAAAACACCTGGAGCAGACGTGAGTTTCCTGTGCCTCAATTTCTGTACTTACACAACAGAGACTATAATCCACTGCTTGCTTATCTCAGACTCACAGAGCAAATGTGAAGGCAAATGTTGCAAACACTCTGGAGGATGGAAGTGCTCTGTAGTGAATTTTTAAAGTATTTGTTAACATCTCCTAAATTGGCATGTACTCTGACAGGAAACAAAAATGAATGCAGCTTAGTTCCTGAACTCAGTGCCTAGGGAGCAAATTACAAGTAAAGCCAGAAAATGGTTATTTCTCTGACATTTTATGTTATTGTAAAATTAAATCAGTCTTGCATAAATTCATTATAATCATGGCTCTGGATGGATAATAAGCTATTGAAACAGAAACCCACCTAGTGACTTAGTGAATGTCTGATAATGCTATCCACCGCTTGACTAATCCCTTCCTCCTTAAGCGTCCGTAATAGTGTGGTAGTGATTTCACAGTAACTCTTCTACTACATTTGCATCTTGATTTTCAAACGTGCTTTGGGTCCTCTGTTAGTTTCTTAAGTTTTAGGAATATTTGTTATAAAGCACAGTTGGTATATCTATGAAGAATTCTTAAACTGATAGTTTTATCTAGTGCCCTCCGTTTTTTGGTTTGTTATGTTTGATACTTCTCAGCCCAGTTTAAAGGATTATTTCTTTAAAAAGCTTTTAGGCACATACTCATTGCTCTGAGTAAATTCCTTTATCTAAACACAATTGAGATGTGTGGTCATAGCAACACTACTATGTCAGGAATGTGTGCCCTCTGCGTATATTTTCCCTTGTATGAATAGTTATTATATGTACTTGTTTGTTCATTTATTCAGCAAGCATTTACGGAGCCCTTACTACTGCCCCAGAATTAGTAGGGTCTCAGAAGTAAGATGCTGCTTGTTATAGCATATATTCACAAAAAATCATAATAATAGTAATGCTGAGTAGAAGGTGCCATGTCTTCAGAAAGTGGACGGATCTCTTGACTTCAAAGGGCTGGTGGCTGCAGGTGGACATTAAGTACAGAGTGAGGGTGCCTGTGCTACGTACGGAGAAACTGAGGAGGGGACGTTTATGCTCATAGGATCTTGGCAGTGGCGGAACTGTAATAGGTATGAAATTCTCTTAGAACGTTATATGTTCTACACCATCCAAGGCCAGTCCTAATGGCTCTGCCATCAGTTTTGTTGCAATAAATGAATTGTTTATCATTTCCCCTCCCCTCATTCTCAAGCACCATATTTTGCTCTCTGTACTATGTTCCTGCCATGGTTTGCAGTAGTCTCTTAGAACTGCTCAATGAATATATCTGGTATTCTCCCTACACTCCACTCCCTCCTTAAAAAAAAAAAAAAAAAAAAGGTCTCTGAAAACCAGGGATGTCTCCATGAACTGCAAAGGGCTGGTTGGAAGTCTTTTCGAGAAATGTACAGTTGAAGTGCTCCTTGAAGCAACTGGTTATTGGAGCTCTGTCCTGGGGAGCTGTCTGAGTGGCTGCAGTGTGGATATCTGTGCCTGGAGCTCTTAACACAGCTGTGTTTCTCTTCCAGACTATGTCCCCATTGGCCCTCGGTTCTCCAATCTGGTCCTACAGGCTCTTCTTGTGTTACTGAAAAAGGCACCTCCTCAGGTAAAAAATATATATATATTTATCATCATCATAAACATAACAAACATGAGTTTTCCAGCAAACTACAAACAATTGACAATTTTAAGTTTTCTGAATAAATAAGCATGGTTCATAATAGATAAATAAGCGAGCATGGTTCATAAACATAAAATTACGTTGTTGAAAGGATTTTGAAAAAAGGATTTTAAAAAGTCATCTGGTCTGGCCTCTGTCTTCAGGCAAATTATTCTCTTAATGGAATTTTCCTATTCCTTTTCTGAAGATATCAAAATGTCACTCTTTCAGAATATAATTTTTTGTTTGTTTTGTGAATTCTATACCATCACTCTTTGACCTCCTAACAAAGATCATAATATTATCGAAGGAGCTACTTGTTCACTTTGTTTTCATTTTATCATTTTCCAGAATTTGTATCTGGAGAAGTTTGTTTATTAACTACCAGCAGGTTTTCTTTTTTATTTTACAGCTGATTTAAAGCCACTTCTCTTGGGTTGAAAATGCTTTTGAGGAGTGTATAGCCAGGATCTTGGGCCGTGTGGTTCCAATGTTATGGACAGGGCTATTAGGCACTGATGGTTTTGATAGTTTAACCAATTTAAAACCAATCTGTGAAGGTTGGTTACGCATGTTGATTCTGTAAAGGCACTAGAGCATGTCGTCCTGTATCACAAGACACAAATTCTCCCGACTGATTCCGGCAGCTGTAACCTCAGAGAAATGCCAGTCCGTGGCCTGTGCCCCAAGGTGAAGCACTGACTTGAAAAGTACCCCGATGTTCTCATGTTTGAAATTGGAAATGTAAAGTAATCTGTAACAAAAATATTGAAGGTTCAGCTTGTGAATCTCGTTAATTTAATAATTAAAATTAATAAATAAAATTATTTGTACGTTATATATTTAAGGACAGACTTCTGTTGAAAAGACACAACCTACAGCAACCTTGAAAACTTCCTACATATTTGCACTGTGGAAGGATTTTTTAAAATCATCTTTACATAAACTGTTTTTTTCAATCACTGCAGTTTGAGTTTATGTTTATACTCAGGCTGAAGGTAGGGAAGTGGGTCTATTTCCACCCCCCCTTATCTTTCAGTACTTTTATAAATACATAAATGGGTATATCTAAAGTTGTTGAATCTATAAATATAAGCAATATTTCCTCAATATTTATATATAGTATTATAAATATAAAAACATAATATTATATACTTAAAAGGCCTACTTTTCATTAAGTCATACTTATAATTACTAGAGTGGGAAATTTTTCCACAGGCACTAAAACTTATTTTTATTATTATCATCTTATGATACAGTTCCATCGGCCCTGGAATTTCCCTTACCCCCTCCTCATTAAAAAAATTTTTTTTACAATAGTCAACTTTTTTTTTTAACTAAAAGTAATACATGCTAAAAGTCATTCAAAAAAATAATACTTTTAAATACTACTTTATATATCTTGTTCCTTATGTTGTTGAATACTTTATACATTTTTTAAAGTTTTTTTTAATTTTATTTTTGATGTTTACATAGTTGATCATGGTGGGAAGGGCCAAGGATCAGGGGAAAGTGGACAAGACCATTGTTTAAACATTTTCTTTTTCTTCCTCTTGTATCTGGGGAAAATTTTTTTTAGAAAGGTTTATTTGTTGACCGCTTGCAGTAGCCTAGTGGCTAAAATCCTCACCTTGCACCCACTAGGATCCCATATGGGTGCCAGTGCATATCCTGGCTGTTCTACTTCCCATTCAGCTCTCTGCCTGTGACTTGGGAAAGTAGTCAAGGTCAGTCCAAGGTCTTGGGACTCTGCACCCACGTGGGAGACCCCGAGGAAGCTCCTGGCTATGGATCGGCTGAGCTCTAGTGTTGCAGCCACTTGGGGAGCAAATCAGCGGATGGAAGATCCTTCTCTATCTTTCCTTCTCTCTGTAAATCTGCCTTTCTAATAAAAATAAATAAATCTCTAAAAAAAGAGAGAGAGATTTATCTATATATCTGAAAGAATTACAGAAAAAGAAAGAACAATATGTTCTATCCCTAAATGGCTGAAATTGCCAGGGCTGGGTCAGGCTGAAGGCAGGAGGCTGGAATTCTATCCAGGTCTCCCACATGGGTGGCAGGGGCCAAGCACTGGGTCGTCTTCTGCTGCTTTCACAGAAGCATTCACAGGGAGCTGGGTCGGAAGAGGAGCATCCAGGACTCAAGCTGGCTCTCATATAGGCTACTGGCATCAGACTGAGGCTTAACCCACTGTGCCACGATATCGGACTCTAATAGTGTCTACATGACATTGATATAAACAAAGAAATATCCCCTGGCTGAGAATTATTTGTAATCCAAACTAGATACTAATAGAAATAAACAAAGTATTCAGAAATAGACTGGAATCTTTTGATTAAAAATTTTAGAATAGTTGATTCGTCTTTCTTTTTTTTTTTAAGATTTATTTATTTTTATTGGAAAGTCAGATATACAGAGCAGAGGAGAGACAGAGAGGAAGGTGTTCTATCTGTTGATTCACTCCCCAAGTGGCCACAACGGCCAGAGCTAAGCAGAGCCAGGAGCCTCTTCCAAGTCTCCCACACAGGTGCAGGGTCCCAAAGCTTTGGGCTGTCCTTAACTGCTTTTCTAGGTCACAGGCAGGGAGCTGGATGGGAAGCAGGGCTGCCAGGATTGGAACCGGCACCCATATGGGATCCTGGCGCATTCAAGGCGAGAACTTTAGTCACTAGGCGAACACGCCAGGGCCCTAGCTTTTTGTATTTTCTAAAAAGAACTTCATGGAAAGAACATTTTTTTTTAAGATTTATTTATTTTTATTGGAAAGGTGGATATATAGAGAGGAGACAGAGAAAGAGCCTCCATCCGATGGTTCACTCCCCAAATGGCCTCCACAGCCAGAGCTGAGCCAATCCGAAGCCAGAAGCCAGGAGCTCCCACACGGGTGCAGGGTCCCAAGGCTTTGGGCTGTCCTCAACTGCTTCCCCAAACCACAAGCAGGGAGCTGGATGAGAAGCAGACTGCCACCAGTATTAGAACCGGCGGCCATATGTGATCCCCGGCGTGCAAGGAGAGGACCTTAACCACTACACCATTGCACCGGGCCTAATAACATTGTTTTTAAAAAGGATTTATGATATATATGTTTTTTATTTGAAAGGAAGATTTACAGAGAGAAAACAAAACAAAAAGATCTTCCATCAGCTGGTTCACTCCCCAAATGGGTGCAGGGCCAGAACTGAGTCAACCCAAAGCTAGGAGCCTGGAGCTTCTTCTGGTCTCCCATGCAGGGGCAAGGACCTGAGGACTTGGGCCATCTTCCTCTGCATTCCCAGGCCACAGGCAGGGAGCTGGACTGGAATTTGAGCAGCCAGGACGCAAATTGGCACCCACATGGGATGCCGGTGCTTGCAGGAGGACAATTATTGAGGCACTGCTCCGGCCCCATCATTATCTTATACTTTTAAATCATCAGACATCTGGCTCAGAGGTTTATCCATACAGCACACACTTCATGAACCAGTCGTCCACAAGATTTATATATATGTAAATCTTGCTAAATACATATATGTTTTATTTAGTGGGCTTAAATTCTTGAGTATGCTTAGATTTGTATTTACAGGAAGCATTCAGAAATAAAGTCTAAAAAGGATAGGACTAACAAGAAATAAAAAGATACCTGATGTTATTTAATCATCAGGAAACTGCAAATCAAAACTAATGTAGTGCAGTGCTAGTTCACTTCCTAGGGATGGCTGTTGTCACCATGTCAGGTAGTAACAAGTGTTGGCGGGGATATGGAGGAACTGGAACCCCAGGTACCCTGCTGGTTGAGGATATAAAAGCTGTGAAACCTTTGGAAATCACTCCAGCAGTGCCTGATTGGTTATGCATTTTCAGAATTGATGGATCAATCTAGACAGTAAATTAGTGGTTGCCTAGAATTGGGATGGAGAGAATGGAAGGAAACTGCTAATAGGTGTGGGGTGGTGAAAATATCCCAAAATTGAGTGTGTTTTGGTTGCACACTTCCATGAATATATTAAAACTACTGAATTGTGCACCTTAAAGGGTGAGCTGTGTGCTGGGCAAACTATATCTCAATAAAGTGGTTACATTAAAAAAAAAAAGTGTGTTTTAGAAGCTCCTGAAATGAGGGTGGGAAAATGACAGGGAGGGTTAGAGAGAAAGGGGTGAGCGACCGAAGCCCAAGGCCCAGCTTGGGGGGAACCCTCGAAACAGAACGTGGGTCACTAATCAGGGAGATGGGATGAACTGTAAGGACTGCAGAGGAGGGATGTGACAACATGTAAGAGTGAGCAACCTGGTGGCTGTAGTGGTTGAAAAGAACAGATTCTCTTAAGAGCAAAGCATCCTGTCATGGGTCAGACTTCATGACCGTGACCTAGACCATTGGATGACCTGCTGTGGAAGGGAGTCAGTGGTAGGAGAAGCTACTGTCTATAACAGTTGTTGGTAGCATGTACTTAAATAAATAAAAGCATATTTTGTCTATGGCACCTTGCTTTGTAAGGATAGTTTAAAACCGCTCTAGAAAAATAGGGAAAAATCAGGCTGATCCAGTATCAAGAATATCTGTCACTGGCAAGTGGAAGCTTTTGCTTCACCCAAGCATGGTCAAGTAGGACTGTCAGCTGCTTGCAGGGTGTGTGGAGCTGAATGTTGTAAAGATGCTCAACAATTATGGAATGCTATTATCTCCTGCAAGAAAACAGAAGAGTTTGGGGCAGTTTTCTTTCAAAAGAATCATACAGGTATCTGTCACAGCAGTGCCTGCAGTCCAGGGATTTTTAATTTTGCATTTGTTGTGATTTCAGCTTTCACACAGCAGAATGTATGTGCACGTGTGCACATGCTCAAAGAAGAGAATCGCTGCAGGGCCGCGATGTTGTTAGGTATCAAGACATTCGCTGCTCCTCCCACCCCTCCCCCACCCCTTCTTGTAAATTGGCTTTATTAGAACTGGCTCACAAACCCTCCTT